GATATCCATTTATGAATTTGGTGGACGTATTACTGATCCCTGACAAATCCAGTGGATATTCCATGGACGTCCAAAGGACATGATGGATATACATATATAACCTTTAATGGACGTGAAGTGGACATGATAAAAGGAATCATATACAGGATTGTAAATATTAATATAAATATAAACAGTGAAATGTAAATATGAATATAAACATTTTATTATAAAATATATATAATAAAATACATTATTATAATCCAAATACAATCTACATTCTAGATTCATAAGTTAATACTTATATATTACATTGTTATAAAGTAAAATAATATAGTTTTGTCATAAAGTAATATAATATATAATATAATATAAGTCATGTCATAAAGTAATATAATATAAGTCATGTCATAAAGTAATATAATAATATAGTTTTGCCAAAAACCATGTCTTGTACAATATATTGCTCGGAATTACGTCACAATTTTTTCTTCTTTATCTGCCCTTTCCTTTGCGCGTCTCAACCATGCCTTGATAGCTTCTTCAATTTCTTTTCTATTTGTTGCTGCTTTGCATAATTGACCACTTTCTAAAATAAATAGAAAAAATATAATAGAGACACATATACAAGTGTATATTATTAGTGTTTTATATTCAGATTAGATATTTTGATAACATTGATAATATAGATATTTACCTAATAATACATTTGCCAAAGTTAATTTTCCAAAGATTTGTTTTTTCTTCGCACCATGCCAGCTATATCGTTCAGCAAATCGATTTTTGAGCAGAAGCGACAAACATCGTTTTACGAAATCATATGGCGTAGTTCCTCCTATCTTGGATAATTCTTTTACCTAAACACATATGTAAATCATATGTAATTAATAATTAAGTGATAATGAAAACTTGGATTAAAGATACAAAAAAGAATATACATAGAACATACAGTAGATAGAAAGCGATTCGGTTCTCGGAGATACTCTTCCACCTCATTCAACTCTTCTATACATTTTAAAGGAAAATGGAATGTACTTAAAAATGTAGCCTTATTTTCATTTGGTTTATCTACATCTTTCTGCAAAAGGGCAACTTTTAATTCCTCGCAGCAGTCTCTTGTAACTTGTCTGAGTAAATATAATTCTTTAAAAATCCTACGAAACTTCTCATCTGAAAACAATGATAAAAAGATTTAATATAAATACAACTAAATATATGTACAAAAGCAATTAATTAAAATATATGAAAACCAATGAATTACAAGTATTTATGTTTCGTAATACATACCATTACTATTATTATGTATGGGACAACATACGCAGGAGTCTAATTGTGAATCTGAGATTGTAAGTGTGAATCTAACAAGAAAAACAGATTTTAGCACTTATTTTGCACATACGGATAAATAATTGTAGATATGATAAAAACATACTCACAGTATTATGTACGGGAGAAGAATTTACCCTCTGATGTACTCGTGTATGTTCGGATCATCATATACATAC